CTTCTGTATCAAAGAGTCGGCAGCGTGCTTTTTTATCAAACAAAAATGGAAATAGGACACATCGAGTGAATATTCTTACATCGGTCTATCGAGAATTACATCTCCGTTATAGAAAAATGATCAGAAGTCGCACAAGAGATTACGAAAAAAATATAGAATGAGGAAGAAATAGACGCGTTACCGTAATATATTCGCGACGTACTTTTGTCTTTTCTAAATCTTTCGTCCCAGTCGTTAACTTAGTATCACGCGTTTTTTTTTCTATCTTATCGCTTCAAATGAATTACAAAATGAGTTTTAGTTACAGAATTAGTCTGAAAATCAAACGAATTTGTTTGAAAATATCGCAGAATTCCTTTATGTAAAGATAAATATTTCCAAAATTATTTTACAAAAAATAAACATTAAATGATGCATTCAAACTGTATAATTAGTTTTATTTTTATGTAAAGACGTTCAATTAATTGTTTCAAAAATGTATCTAATAAATTGAAAAATAACAGTAGCCTGTAATGTGTTAACGGCATTGCAAAACACATCCCATCACTGGAGCACCGAAAAAAATAACATTCTCGGCGGAATAACGAGGAAGAATCGGAGATGCCATCGTGAAGGAAAGAAATAGAAAGAAAGAAGAACGGCGGTTCGCGACACCCAGTATCGAAACCTAATTTCGACGCTCGATTGGATATCGAGTACAGTCGATTTTCCTGCCAGCTGTAAATCGAGATTAGCGACGCGCGGTAGGTCGTGCACGCGAGCGCTTGAGAACGAACGTACGAATGAATGAGGTGCCTCTATCCGCCCGGAGATGGAAAAGGGGTAGAGAGGAACCCGGATCGGCTCGGATTTCGCCCTTTGAGAGGAGGCTCTCTTTCTCCCAAAGCACCCTCCTACCTGACCTCCTCTCGGCTCGCTTCTTAACTTACCTAGCTCGTGTGTCGCGTAAGCCCGATCTAACGAGAAGCAGACGACGCGTCAAGTCACAGAGAAGAGGAGATGATCTTGGCTATTTAATACACAAGTGTCAGAATTGTTTTCTTTGGAAAGCACAGTGGCAAAAAGTTTATTGAACCTCTTTAAACAATCAATCGCGCTCAAAAGCTTTCCTTCCTTTTATCTCTCAACAGAAGTATCACGCGGCGTTGCTTTCATGTAAAACTCGCGGAACGTCCAGGTGGTGCCTCTTGCGCGCGTCAGCAAATTAATTCGATCAATTAATACGTACTTAAGCGCACGCTCCGCTGTAGCCAGTTGATAACACCAGGCGACTGCTGCAATCGCTGAGCGCCACCCCCGATGTTCGCGAAAGCAAGCACACGGTGCCGCCGGGACTCAATCAATACCGGTGGCATCGCCGGACCGCCATTTTATTTCACCGCGATCCCTTTCGCTCCACCACACCCGGAGGCGCCTCACCTTTCCCTCCGCGAAATTTCCTTTTCTTTTTACCAGTCGTATAATTATATATAATATTATATTTTATATATGCGGGATAGAAGAAGATACAGTTGAAAAGCAACCTCGCGGTATTTTTTTACAGAACTGTCGAAATTTCACTAAAATTATAGCCGGGCTTCGTCTGGTTTTAAGCCAAAAACTAATAGTAGTAACAATATATATGTAACGTTATTATCACTGACACTATAAAACTTTTTTCACAAATTACAATGCGATCCCTACCCTGATTGGTATGAATGAAATCAAGTAGATTGGAACATATTTTGCGCTTACTTCCAGAGGGCGAGGCCTACCTATCTGCTTAGTAAGGGGTTGGTTCGCGCTTGAGACGTCGACGTAATCGGAACGGGCAATCGTGATCCGATCGAGATCTGATAATCGACTTGTTGGCACCTGTGGCAACCGACATAATTAATGTCAGTGCGTTGACCCCCGTCCTCTCGTCATTTCCCGTGCCTTACCTCTTCCCAGCTCGTTAATTCTCGGCGGGACATTACCGAGCAAATTAGGCAAACCGACTCCTCTCTCTCACTCTTGTTCTCTTTCTCCTTTTCGCTCTCCCTTCTCCGAACTACCTTTTCGTGCCCCTTCAGCTATCAAACTCGGAATAAAGTGGCCGTGAATCGGCCAGGAAGTGGGCGTTTCGCCGTGATGCCAGCTTCCAGAAGGTACAAAGGGGAAAGTAAGAGGGGAACGAAAAAAGGACACAACGAAGAGCGATCGTCGCCGTCTCGGTAGTAGCAGTACTCTCCCCTCCTCGCTTTTCTTCGTTTACAAACTGGCTCTCCACGCGGTTTGTTCTCCCAGCTCCTTTTAGTATGATCTCCGTACTCCCCCCAACCCAACAGGCCTCACCTTCTCGCGGGGGTAATTAACGATTTAACAGACACGCTGAATGAGCGGTGCCGTGAGTTGGTTAAGCAAGTTGTTATTAAGGCTGACGCGGCACCCCCTTTTGTAGTGGGGAGAGAGGGTAGGAGGAGAAGAAAAAGACGCGCACAGAGGGCAAGGAGATGAAAAAAACCGGAGAATAAAGTTTATTACATATCCTAGGATATAAATTCTCCTCGGGGCACCCTCCGCATATCAGGAATTAAATTGTAAAGTACAAATTAGCATAATAAGATACGCGAACATGGATGTAGCGAGGCAACTGAAGAATGCAACAAATATGAAAAGTCGGAACGGAAAGAAAAACGACTACTCGCGCGTTGTATGCTGCACGTCGCAGCTAAAGGATGCGTTAGTTTTAGCGATACGAAATATTAAAAAATATAGAAAAATCAAATTTTCCTGAAAAACAGGCAAAGGAGTATTAATTAATTTAAATGCTTCAGAAATATAGAAAAATAGATGTATATTATTTATAAGAAGTTTATATTTGTAGTATATTTTAACATTTTTTCCGTCTGGGAAGCCGTTAATGTTTTATGTATTCAAATAAAGAGCGGAGGTGCTTACATTCGCACGCAAGCCAGGATTCCCGGGCTCGCCCACCGACTAATGGCTTTATAATGCCTTCATTTCGTATTAAAGCGCTGCCGCTCGCTTGCGACCGCCGTTCTTGCGATGTCCTGCAGGATTGTTCACGCCCGATGGAGCCGTCTCCTACCTAGGATAATGTGCCGGGCTCGACGTCCGCTGCAGAAAGAAGCGGAGTGCGACTTAATAAGTCGCACTCCAAAAGTTAAGGCACTATGCCGGCATAAAACTGCGATATCTGAAAGTCAGAGTAATTTCCCCATGAGAAAAATCATCGATTTAGTGATAGTCGTGGTTGGGCTACTCTCTTAAGTTGAATCAATCAATTCTGTAACCGATAATCAGTGAATATTCACGAATTTTTAGCGGAAAATTTAGCTCTTTTGTCTAGTACTTCATTGATCGTGCTAATATGATGTGTTTCTATACAAGATAGAAATTTAAAAAACTATTGTAATAACAAAATGTATAAGCATATTTTAGTGAAATACCACTGTCCAGATGAAAGAGGTTCGAAGAGAAACCTTTCGATGAGAATATTTGTAAAATCGACAATATACAATAAATGGCAATATATGTGAAAAGTTAGATCTGATCCTCATACATTGTAATCATTTCTACATTTAGCATTGATTTTAATATAGCATCTATTCGCACGCATTTCCAAATCAAATTATACTGAAAATCAAGTGAAATAAAGTTTTTATCGCAAATTACATTCTCATTCGCTGACAAACATTTCGCCTTAATGATCGCGGGAAAGACTCTTTTTACGAAGTCATACTCGCGATCGCGTGTCCCGCGATGGGATCCTAATCAAGCGACGAGACGGCGGATATCCTCGACGTTTATACCGTCGTTGCCCCTTTTTCCACAACGCTCTCACCTTCGGCGCCGCTAATACCGTCACCATTTCGGCATCTTTTATGCCGAACGCGCGCGTGATTTACGAGCGAAAGATGAATCTGACCCCGGCTGTACGTCTATTCATGCCTAATGCGGCCATAACGACAGAAATGTATTCATCCTGCCCGCTTTACGACGCGATCATTGCCCGACAAATTAATAAAGCAAATGTTCGAGCGAACGATTAATTTTACGCTAACTCGAGAGCACACACATGTTTCAATCGGCCGCCGACTTAATGACGACCATGAAACTTCAAAGTCTCCAAATCTACAAAAGACGAATAGTAAACGTTACTACAAAATTATTCGATTACTTACATGAATTATTCTGTTGTAAAATCGAGAAATATCAAGAAAAATCGAACAAAAATATCTTCGTTAGAAATATCGGATAGAACTTTCTCGAAATTGCCTGCAAAATTGTCCAATTTACCGTGGTCGCGTCGCGAGATGCGTGCACTAATAAAAATTCCCATCGGCGACATGCGTTCGCGATCTCGTGACAACGCGTTGGTCAGCCCGCCCCAAGCAGATGGTGATTCCTTCATCCCCTAATCGCGCGGTCGGCTCGCGTGATGACGCCTTTAAACGAGGCATCCTGGTTAACCGTAACATTTGCTTAAGCGTGTACACGCCAGACAGAGAAAATCGCTCTGCCCGGAATAATGGTTTCTTATTATTATCATTACTATTATTACTACGACTAACACTTACCCCGATGAGAAAGAGAGAGCAAACGCACGATCCGTGAAATAAACTCGCGGCGAAAATCTTTCAATCGCCCTTTTAAATCAAATCAGTGAAGCGGTATTTCATTGATAACCAATAAGGATTCACTAATTTTTAGTGGGATCACCTGATTGATGCAAACCGCGTCCCATAGCAGAAATATATATATCATATTCGGCGTTGTTTGTAACAGAAGACTCTTCTTGCGGAGACTCTTCGAGTTTTCTAAGATGTAAATTGAATATAACGAAGAATATCCGATCCTAAATAATGCACTTATCATGAATAATGTGTGTACTTATTAGTTTCTTGAACTTTGTGTAATTTCATATGATTTAAAATCATGAATTTGATTATGATGTCAAATGATGATTTGAACCGAAATTCGACGAGAGGAAATATTCGGTATGGTGCGTTCGGTACAAGAGTTTATTAGGGTTTATTTACAAGGGAGCAGCTTGCACAGCAATAGGTGTATACGTCTTCACAACACAAGCATTAACAATATAACGCTCTACACTAAAGCTAGTCGCCGCAGCAGCGATAATAATCATTTAGGCGCTTGCGAGGAACGCGCGAAGAACGTACTCTTTCTGAAAATGGACGTTTTTATCAATCGCCTTTCTTTCGAGGATCTTTCATCTCGGGATTTCTTACTTTCTAAAATACTCGCTGATCCTTTAGTCTCGGGGAAAGATGAAGTATTTGTAGGGGGGTTTTTTTTTTAATTGGGAACGTCGTTCACTTCGCCGCCTCGACAAGCACGGAATCGAAACATAAATAACGATAACAGTAGGCTCGTGATACGAAATATACAACTTATGTTACAAGAGATAATGGTGTAGTTACCTTTTACACGCGTCGCGGCTGATTATATGTATATCTATATACAGGTAGTCGTCGTACAACTTAGTTGCCCTTAAGGATGCATATACGTGTATAATCATACCGCCTCGAGAAGCAGAATGCTTATATATTTACAACGTCTTGGTGCGTATCGTTTTAGAAAATGCGAATCGGTCCTTTCGATCATTGTTGAAGACGCATAAAGAGACGTGCTGCAAAACCTCTTTGACGGATATGATCAGGCTGAAAATACATTCGAACAAATCGAGGTATTCTTTTTTGCCAAAATTTCAGGTACGTACGAAGAAAAGATAGATAACACAATGCGAGCAATTTGCTCAATTAACAAAACATTTGACTAGAAGACAAATCATCCGATTGAATATCTTCACAATCGCCGCGAGGAATGAATTTGCGCGTGTGTGAAATATATCTTTCACTCGCATAAAAAACAGACGGTTAATAATACCTCTCTTTCCCGCGAATTTTCTCGTGCAGCGTTGCATTCGTAGATGCATCCTGACTACCAAAATGGCGGCGCGGCCCTATCACTTCCGATCGTCGATCGATGCGTAGATACATAATATGCTACAGAGATCCTCTCTCTCTCAGCCGGGAGACAACGGAATCGTCGAGTCACGTCGAGTCTTCTGTACTTGCCACCATGTTCGCGAAAGGTCGAGAGTTCAGTCGCGACCACAGCGTTCTCGCGCGGAAAGAGAGAGAGAGAGAGAGCCTTACGTTTCTTTTCGTCCTAGGCGTGAGAAGGACAGACGCCAACCGCGAGAACCTTTGACACCACAATTATCGTCGCTATTCATGCCGCGGGTTTCGGTCCGATATCCTCCTCCCGACGCCTCCCTCTCCCTTCGGAGAGAATTCTTTCGCGCGACGAGAATCGATCTCCTCGTCGCAAACCAACCAATGTTATATTTTCTCGCACGGACAGACATTGCAATTAAGAGAGAAGGAAGTGAAAAGCGAGACGAGACGTCCTCGCGAGAGAATATCGCGTTCCGCGAAAAGGCCTCACCACCGCGAAGGATCGAGGCCCAGCTGGAGTCCATCCTTCTCTATGAAAAGAACGGGACTACGAGGGTGAGAGGTCCTGGGCCTCCCTGCTGAGACTGTCCGTAGGCGAGGGGGTGGCTCTTCTGGACGGCGACGGCGACGGCGCGGCCGGCGTCGAGGACTTGGAGGCGGTCGCCGTGTGGTAGGGCGAGAATCGGTGATGCGCCAGGGCGAGAGGAGACGGGTAAAGCGGCCGAGGCGCCGCCGGCCCCGTCGGATTCTGCTGGGAGCTGGAGGCGGCCAGCTGCTGCTGATGGTGCGCCGCCGCGAAGAGAGTCGGCCCGATGGACGAGGCCCACCAGAGGTGGCCGAGCTGTTGCTGCTGCTGCTGTTGCTGCTGCTGCTGCTGCTGGTGGCTGGTGCTGGCTGTCGCCTGGGCGCCTGGGTAGACCAAGGCCGGGCTGACCAATTGGGCGTAGGGGCTCACCGCGACCGCCGCCGCCGCCCTCAGCAACATTTGAGAGCGCGCCGCCCATAGGGCCTTCTCCTCCAGGCTGAGATTGCTGACCGCGCCAGCCTGGAGCTGTTCCATCTCAAAGGGCAGACGAGGCGGAAACCTCAGCGACTGCTGCTCCGCCAACATCGACTCCATCGTCTCCCTGAAAGGGAAGCTGCTCCATTATGTACCTTGTCTGTCGCTCGTGCTCTTCGAGGCGACGTCGTCGCCCGCTCTGCTGCTCGATATACGTTTTTCGCTTTGCAAACGATTTATAAACATTCCAACGTTTTGGCAAGGCACGTTATGGAAGAGATCCCAGCTTCCGAGTTAACTTCTCCAGCGGGTAATGTGAGTTATCATGAAACTTACCTTTCGAAGTCGGTGAGGCGAGAGGAGTCCCGAAAGCCCTTCGCAAACGGATTACTGTCGATCTTGAGCTTCGTGATCTGTAACAGGCGGGGAAATCACCGGTCGGTTAGTCCGACGAGCGGAAGAAGATCGGAGAGGCAATCGCCCTCTCGGACTCGCATTAACATCGCAAATTCCCCGATCTTATTACTCGGGGCGTACACTCCGAGGGAAAATTACGTCACCGGGCCGGCGCGTGGCGGAAAACGGCCGGCTGTTTCGAAACAGTTCGTTCCATCGATCGGGAGTCAACGGCTCGTAAAATTAGAAGAAGGCAGCGAAGCTACCAGCGAGCGAGGGGAATCAGGGGGATTGGAGAAGAGAGATAGGGACGCGCCACTGATGCACGGGAGTCCTTTGCGCCGGGTGAAATCGCGCGGGGGATGCAGTGGCTCGCTCCGAGATTTTTCTGGCCGGTTGTAAAAAAAAAAAGATGGGAGCGGCTGATTCATACGCCACGTTGTGCCGAGTCGCTTTTGACCGAGAGCGAGATAAGCGATATCGCGACGATATATACGAACGCCGCGCGATAGATTACTTTTCGATAAGGTGTGTTCTGTCGCGCGGTGGAAATTGAACGAATTTCACTGTTTTCTCTCGTTTTGCCACGATTCGTTCATATCGCGCAAGTGACGTGAGAGAAATTGCAAGGCGATAAAGGATGACGGGTAAAATGGGCCGGAGGTCAAAATTCGATTCGAAAACTAAAAAAAAATATCCTTCTTTTCTTGCCAGTTCGGGGGCCAAAATGTTGTGTACCCATTACTCTACGGCTAGGTTGCGAGCACATTTTAACCAGCGATCTTCCGATCGCTATTACCCTAATGAATATTGCGCTTTTATATTTTACAATAATTCACTGTAATTTACAAAAATTTTACAGTAAAGTAATATTATCCTCGTTACGACGTGTCAACGATTATTCTACGATTATCGTCAATTTAGCGTTTCCTCGAGTGTCAAAAGTATTTGATAAATGCTTTCCTTTCTTTCCATTTTTTTTCCTTTCCTCTCCTGTACGCATAGTCTCCTATTTCTTTGGAGAGGAGGCTCATCGAAACATCCTTCGCCATGTTGAGGTCCTTATTGTGAGAGCAAAGGACGCTTTGTTCGCGGTCGCGTCACTCGAGGAATCGTCGACCGCCGCGATGGTCGACGAGAGGAAATCCGAGAAAGTTTGTCTACGTGTTGGACTACATATCGTCACGTCTGTAATAGTCTCTCAAGTGGCAGGGATGTTCTTTTTCTACCTCTCTCTCCCTCTACATATATTTTTTCTCTCAAAATGTTTGAGTAGAGGAAAATTTATCTGAAAAAATGGATACCAACACTTGTGTATATACTATTTCCAACACTTATTTTCTTCATTCTTCTTATCTGGTGGTTGATAAAATATTGTTATTTTTCAAAGATACTCGATGATATTGTCTTACTCTATATGTATATTTTTCTCTATCTTTCTCGGCACCCCTGCGAAAATCCACCCTAAGTCGGCCTCGGTAAGTAAGCCCCACACCCTAAATTGGGTGTTTCGCCTTACCTAGGAGGCCACCCACGACGGAACGGATGCACAGGTGGCCTCACTCTCGAGGTTCTCTGTTGTCAATCCAACACGCGACGCCCTTGCTCTGCCTTGCGTTGCCTCACCTTGCCTTTCTGCCGCTACTTCTCCCTTTCTTGCTCCCGCCGCCACGCACTCTCATTCACAAAAGCTTCGAGGCGAGAAATTTCGTCGGCCGGATCCCGAGGGATGTACCTGTCCGTAGTTTCCAAACACGAGAAGACGTGTTGGTCCAATGAAATTTTCCGCGCATTTAACCGCGAAACGAGTCAGCATTCGCGTGTCACAAGGCGCTCACGACCGTGAAAAGCGGGCTAACAAGGGTTCCCCATGAGTAGGACAAATGGTGAAAAAAACATATTTGCCAATTTTCGGTCTATTATTGTTCGCCTCGTTGATTTATTTTCAATTTGTTCAGCCGGTTGTTGACAAATATCGTCCGGAAAGCTCTATCAAACTAATTTTAGGGAGGAAGAAAGAGAAGAAAAGATTTCTAAGAGACGGGGTATATCGGAGAGATAAAATGAAGAACGACAAGAATCATCTTCTCCAAATGAGATATTGCTTGGTCAGATGGCGCCTTCCTACAGAGAGACTAAGCGAAAGGACGAACGAAGGCATAAAAATGTCAAACAAGCGCAGTGATATCCCAGCCAATTTCCGCCCTCAATAGGGATAAATCAAGCTTGTCTTCCGGGTCGAGACGTGTCGCTCGAACACGAGTTCCCGCTGCTACGACTCTTTCAGGGCCACCGTTATGCCCGAAACGAGGCGCAACACGCGGATATTTATTTGGAAAAGAGAGCCGGCCTTCCCGTAGGTGGTCCCAATTAATCATCACTTGTTCCAAAATTCGGCGACGAATCGCAAGCGATTTGATGCCATCAATTGAGAGGTTTTCATATTAATGATTTCGTACAAAATTTCACCTTGAGGAGCTACATGAACTCTCGAAAAACAACGAACGTTTCTCTGCCGACCACATTAACAACTCTCGTCTATCATTGATTCTCATCAAGTGTGTATTTGTTTCAATTCATTATAATAAATCGAGTTGAAACGTTTGTCGCTGCGGGATGGGAAAAATGGAAGGAAGGAGGCTGGCAAACAGGGGAGCGAAGAGTGGCACTCTCTCTTTCTCGGTCGTCGAGTGGGTGGTCCAATTACCCTACAGTTTCGCGCTCACGAGCAGCACGTGCAGGCTCGGGTAATAAGACTCTTTCCTTCAAAGCCGAGACTAAGCCGATGCTAAGCCCGGAGCCGCCTCGGTTTTAGTTACGATTCCGCTGACATCATTAGCCAAACATCTGGCCCGCCACCACCATCGTCAGCATCGTCGTTCCCTCGACAACACCTCCGTCTGCATTCGCCTCTCGTCATCGGCGGTATGCGGCTGACGATTCGTGTCGTCGTCGTCGACATCGTCACTTTATGAGCGGCTCTTTGAGAGCTGCGAAATCGCGTATAACGGACTCTAGTTTAGCTGACTTCTGGTCTTTGATATTGACGTTTTATCACCGCGCTTCTCCGACATGTGTACCACTCTTTCCTTCTTTCTCCAATTTGAGTCCGTCACTTTACAATGGCGTGGCAATCTGAATGATTTCGCTGATACAGTGAGGTTTATCTGAAAAATGGTTTCGTTTCACGATGACTCAGCTGTTGGTGAAAATTGTTAATTCCTTATTATACGATTACTGATACTGAAATGAGCTATTTAACGTTCTATCTGACTTCTGTCTTAAGAAAGAACAGCCATCTCGCGAGAAGGTCGATCCCGGTGTTGACGCCACTGGGCGAGCTTTCCGACAAACGCAGTCGGCCCCGTCGAAGTTATACGATTTCGCTGACACGGCTTGGACCACTTCCCAGACCGATTTACGATGCCGGCCGCGCAGCAAGTGGTACACCGCGTGATAAATTCGCCCCGCATGCTCGCCGTTCTGCTCGGCTCGGTAGCCTGAGTACGAGCGCGCGAATAAATCTTCGCGAGAGATGTTCGTCCCGCGAGATGACCACGCGAAAAGTATCAACTTCGGGATATCTTTTTACGGACCAACTAACGCAAAGGCCTTTGAAGAACAGGCGAGCGTGTCACGCGAGGACGAAATTCGCGCGTTTCCGCGACATTCACGAAACGGAAAGTAATTTGAACGCACGCAGGGCCCCGTCGTCGGACGGCCCGAGGACAGATTGGTAGGACCGATCGAAGGACAGGTAGCCAATTACCAGTCCAGCTGCGGAGCGCCAGGCCGATGAAAATTGGGAGAGAATTTGCGAACACAGTGGGCGGAGCGGAGTGGCGTGCATCGCTTTCAGAACCAGGAAGAAGTCGTCCCGAAATTCGCTTTCTTCTTGCACGAATGAATTCGAGAAAGTCTCGCGCTCTTCCTCGATAATTGAGTAAACTTTTGAAATGCATCTGTTCATTCGATTAACGCGCGTGTGTGTCGACGAAATGATGCGTCAGGAGGAGTGTTGCGTTCGATGGAGCAAATGTAAAAAAATATACATTTCGCCTCACACGCACGTCATTAATTTCCCGATATCGATGTGATTTATTTTACGAGTTTATCAAGGTGACATTTCATCCGCGATTCGATTATCGTAATTGAATAACGATCGACCGATTTTCTCTGCGGAGGATATAATTCGTTGATTTTTGATAGCTAACTTGTTAATTGCGCGTTAATTATTGCGCGATATAGCTATTATGAAAATTCCGGAGAAGCGTGCGAATTTAAAATTAAAATCGTTCGTTCGCCCGCTATAATTAAAGACTCTTCTAATCGCCCGATAACGTATTGTTCTGCGCGCGCTCGTAATCGAATTTGCAATACTAATTGGCCGCGCGAGAGGCGAGATAAGCATCGTAAACTTCAGCTTAGCGCGGAATAAAGTCGACGTTGTTTCACGCAACGCTAATGTCCCCGTTTATCGGAGAACGCTCTTTCTCATTACGGAACGCCGATCGCGCCGTTTCCATGCATATGCTTAATTGCGCGACCTTGCTAATTCACGGCTGCTTCGATTTCGCCGTGACAGAAATCGTTCGCCGCCGCGCTACTTCATCGTGATCTCGGATATTTCAACAAAATCTGATATAACGCCAACAAATGATAGAATGGTCAGGCATTTCCACGTAAAAATCGTTCTTTACTTCGTTCCGTCGGATTGCTCAGATAATATCCTCCGGTTCACTCACGCGCCTTATCGTCCCCTCTCGCGGTCCGTTGAGTCGCACACCCGGTAGAGACCGCGCGAAATGAAGTCGTAGATAATTGAAAGGGATACTTTCGCACCCGAGAGGCCCGGGCTCTAATAATAGATTTAATAGAGACACGCTCATTGAGGAAGGGGGTCGTACCGCGGCGCACTCGCCTCGGCGCGCTATTTAGTGCCGCTCTTGTGCTTTTGCGCCGCCACGCTCGCTCGCCCGTCCCGCCGGCCGCTTTTTTTCATCCTTTGCCGGCGAAACACCGCGTGACCGCTGTTATGGTGACGACTAGCGATAAAATTAAATTATCATACACCGACTGATTTATAAATACGTCGCGACGTGTTATACCGTCGCTTCTTTCGTCGTCTCCACCATCGAAAGCGATGTTTTCATTCGACGACGGCTCTTTACACGTATCATTCGTGTCACGATAATTACGAAGTAAGCTCGCAAAATATGCCAAAATTTCGTCGCTTCCGACATTGTTGAGTACCAACGGAGCCTTGTGATTAGACTGTTGTGAGTAGATTATTATTAGAAAAAAGATCAAATCATTCGCTGAGTGGGAGATCTCTAACATACGAAAGAAACATTCCATCTGTGACATGATCGGCGGTGTTTTCGGTATTAGAAAAAAGATCAAATCGTTCGCTGAATGGGAGATCTCTAACATACGAAAGAAACATTCCATCTGTGACATGATCGGCGGTGTTTTCGGTAAGACACCCCGGACTCATGAAAATTCACGCGATCACTCGAGCGTTAATTCCCGACACGTATCCAGTCGAAGGGCCCGCCGAGAAAAGTGTGATATCAACGTGATCATTAACGTCGCTTCGATGTCGACGAACGGAAGCGCGTTTTAATCTCGGCTCACGCAACGCCAGCGATCATGCTGTGCTAGTATCGTTTCGATGCGAATTCATTAACCCTGTCGTGCGCTCTCTTTTTTCATTCCCTCATCCATTCCCTTCCACGCCTTTTGTCATGCATTCTTCAACATAGCCAGTTCAAGGTCCCGAAGAACATGAAATTGCTCCGAGTATTTCAAGGTGCGAGTAATATATTCGCTCGCAAGTTCAAAGTTTGATCGCTAGATATTCGCAGCAGTCTCGAAGAGCAGCCATCGCGGCACAGAGAGGCAATCTGTCCGATCGAAAATGCGACGAGAGAGTAACGTAGCGCACAGGCAAGGTCGTAAGAGGGGGCTCATTTCATGCTAGTTTTTAACGATGCCGCATTAAAACTTTCGAACGCGGCCGAATAGATTGAGACGAATAATATACGATTACGCGAAAAAGTTATATATATACATGTCAAATTTAAACTAGAATTATTTCAACCTTACTTTTTCTTCCAACACTCTGCTTTTTTCCGATCGCTCGGCTCATTTTCATAATGGCAAGGGTTTCAACTATTGCCCGACGCATATGTCATGATTGTTAAGGGGCACATATTTTTGGACATTGCCCTACATAGTTTTAGCGACGGTTGATGGCGCGTTGTCGGACGATTATTTCTGGCGCGTCGGGACTTTGCGAATTTAGCCAACTCGTCTATCTTTCTCGCTCACTAACTGTCGAGGACAACTTATCCTCCTCAAACGGCCGGGCTCGATTTATGGTCGTGTTTTGTGTCGTGAGACGATCCTTCTTCTATCATTCTCGCGAATCAACCTGATGATAATGAAAAAAACAAAACGCACTAAGGTGAGGCCTCAAAGTGACCTTGGATGGAGACTTCCGTTTTACGCGGTGGTGTACGCTCATTTGCCGCTAATGCGCATTAATTTTCGGGCGGTATGCGAACAAACACGTCGTTAAACGTCGCGTAATTACGTCACCGGGTATAGCACGCATTGTGCCGGCAGCGCATCCGCAACGCGGCAGAGATAATTATTCGTAATCGCATAATTGAACGGGGCTTTTACCTTCGTGGCGCAATTAGAAACTGTTTCTTCCGTCGTGAAGAACTAAGCCGGGCACTCTGAGAGGAGTCGCGATTATATCAATTAGTTTAGGAGGCCGCCTAGGTGGTCCAATGTTTGGAATCGTTCTAATGCTAATTTTGGAATATCACGCGGGAAAAGTATACATGTTTCTCGCGATTAGAAGAAACTTCTTCCCCGCGGCAAACTTAGGGACAATTAAAGAGATCTAATCAAGATACCAATTAAAAGCGGAATAGATGAAAACAGATGTGCGCGCGAGAAACAGCAAACTCGTGCCGGACAACATGAGCAGCGGAAATACTACAAAGCAGAGCGCTACCTTGTTGACAAATAAATTTCTAAAAGCGGGTAGCGGGCATTCTCGTCGACGACGAGTGGAGCACAAAGCGCGCGGATAATAGACGACTACGAAGGCGTGACATCGTCGTCGTCGATAAATAAATGCAAAGCAACGAAGAAGAGGAATCTCGCGGAGGTATACCGCGCAAAGGTCAGCCGCAAATAACGAACGACGGAAATTTGCTTTGCTTCCCCGTGGCGAAAATTCAATCATTGTTGTTATTAAACTTGATATTTTTCAATCAAACGAGTGATAAAATTTGAGTCAACCACTTTGGAAATTAGCACGACAACTATATTTATGTAGAATATTTGTTCGTCAAAGAAGAATCATCGACTGACTCCAGCTTAGTTCGCTGGCATAGATATCGGAAAACGAGGAGGCGACATCGGGGCGATAAGGAGCCAGCAGAACGGATGGAGGAACTTTCGTGCGCGGTAAGCCGGAGGGAAGGAAGAGAAGCGGCAGTTAAGTTATGAATTATGACGTGGTGCGAGCGAGAAAGACGCGTAGGTCGTTACGAGAAGGGAAGGGCAAAAAGCGTTCGCGACCACGAGAAAAGAAGGTGGTTCTCGCTAAACGAACTCAACGCATGTACCGAGATCCTTGTGAAAAATATCTGCTATGCCAGTATCGTCATTGATTACATTTCCGTGATGAACTATATTCCCGTCTACTCGCAAGCATCTCTCTATCTCTCAGGCTAATCTCCCCGTCTCTTGAAAATATATCGGCGAAACCGATCTTGTTAACAACCGTAGTCCCCTTTTTCACCGAATCTCAAGGGACTTGTCTCACATTCTATCTACCTATCCATCTACTTTCGCCATTCGTCCGTCGCGCGCTCCACTGCATTTCTACGTCGCTAACGTGCATTCCACGATGCACCTCTGTCCCCCTTCTTCATCATCATTTTCTTCCTCTTCTCCTTCTTCTTCGCCTTGCTCTTGTTCGATCACGGCGCCCACCGTCGACGTTCGCGATGATCGTCCCCTTCCCGCTGTTCCTCCGTTTTACACTCTACCCCGTCTATTTTCGAGCTCGTTGAAAAGCCGCAGGGATAGCGGGTACACTGGCGTGTTCGCAAACGTTCGTCCTGATCGCGCTAGGTCGGTGAAAGAGAGAAAGAAAGTCAGGGAGAGAGACATGGTGACGGGCGGAAGAGACTCGGAGGCGACGAGAAAACCGCAAAGAACGATAATGACGAAACGAAAGGACGCAGAAAGCGAGTGGCACAAAAGAGAGGACACAACGGAGGAGAAACTGGCCCGAGGTAATTGCCAGGGCGTCTCTTCGCACCTCATCATCATCATCAAAAGCCGCGTTGCTCCCGTCGTCGTCGTGGAGAAGGGACCACCCGTTAGCGACGATGAATCCGTTGATTTTTCGTCTTCGACGGAACGGAGACGGTCTTTCTTGTAGAATTAGCGTTTATTAATTTAGGCAAAAAGAAGGCAACTGCCGTTCTTCTCACGATTGTTTTTCGCAGAGAAGAAGCTAGATTATTCCGAGGATTACAGATCGTTTGAAATAACAACCACTGTCGCGGGGGGAACGAAACGGGACGCGCCGCGACGCCCATGGAATGCGAACGACGCCGAGCTGGACCACACATGACGCCGCAGTCGGCTCTAAATGACTATCGTGAAATACGATAATGCCCCGTCGTTCTTGCGCGCTGAACACGGAATCTGAACTTGGACACGGAAGACGGCTCGTCGAGACTGCAGAAGACAACGAGCGCTACTTACGATCATCTCCGCCGTCTTTTGATGCTTGCGCGAGCCAACACAGTGACGAATCTATTTGAGGTCTCGTTTCTACTTAAAATTTCACTCGTTGCTTTCGGAGCGTCACGTTGTATAATCCTATCTTTTTTCCGAATATTTTGGATCGAAGAAATCGGCGGGCCCTTTCGAACGCTAGTTAACGCGAGGTGTTACGCCAGTGTCTTCACTCGCTCTCGACAGAAACGATTATCGAGGATGAAAGAGAGCCGAACGAAATGGAGGAACCAGTCCCGTGTGGCGAGACGCGACCGACCCACCGCGATAGGATGAAAGACGGAGATAAAGAGCGCGATACGAAGGAGGCAGGGGAGTGAGAGAGAGAGAGAGAGAGAGAGACAAAGCGGAGGACGAGCGTGCAAAAGGAAAGGCTGAAGTGTAACGGTAGCGAGAAACAAAGTGAAACTTACGAGCTGATTCTGATAGGCGGTGACAGCGGTGAATATGGCCTCCGGGAATATAAAGGTCTTGTGCGGTTCCTTCTCGAGGTCCACGATCGGCTTCGCCGTGCCGGAGTCCGGCCGCTTCACCAGGTGGATCCTTGGCTGGTACTTGTGCATTGAGTTCAGCACCAGCTGCAAATTGTTTCGGTTTAACTGGCCGATCGACGACTTCTCGTCGTCGAGGTGCAAATAAACGCGGCTGAATTCTCGATTTTCCAAGCAGACGCTTCTCGCTCGGAATGTACGGACGAAGCGAAACGCGTCTCTACATATGCCGTCTTGCGGCATATTCCATTTCTGACTTTGATTCTCGATTCTTCCTCAATTTCAACGATTTCATTCAGAGAGACTAAAGAGGTGTGGAATTTTATATCAATAAAATGGCACGTGGAAAGAATCTCAGAATTACTAAAAAAATTTTTCTTACCAACAAGTAGACTGACATTCTGCACTAATTTATCGCAGCAAAAGAAAAGCAGTGAAATCATTTTCTGTTGCAACATATTGTGATATCAGTTTGCGAATCATTACATTTCTTAAATATCAGTGTAATGAAATAATGCAAAGAAAGGGGGAGGGAGGGGAGAGACATTATGTTACGCGATTTTTACTGTAGAATAAGAAATTGTTTTCATCTTAAGACCTAAGAAGAGAATATACTATTGAAAAATGTGCTCCGCTCCTTAGCAATATAAAGACATTCCTGCATTATTAGAAAGTACAGTAAAATTGTGAAGAATTTTATATGAAAAAATCATATTCTCTCTCCGATAGTACGCGCGCGTTATTATAATTCAAAGACGCGTCACGATTCTCTCAGCGCGAAAATTGTCCGAATTTGCGCAATTAAAAGCCGAAAGCTACCGCGACCGATCTAAAGAAACGATGTGTGCAAGCAACAGACGTTTCCCTTTGCGTCTTTCTATCCGATGGGTCCCATTAGAGTCCCCGGATCGTCGACGATAGCTCGTTTCTCCCCGCGCGAAGACGCGTCGAGATTACATCACGTTCGTCGTCGACATGCGTCGTTCGAGAGGCGCGTGATAGCATTAACAACGGCAACAACAACAAGCGAGAGGGATGAGAAGAAACGGCGTATGAATTAGGAGCACTCCGGGCGCGTTCTTCCCGTTACCGTTCAAAAGAATCACTTTGCCGCGTCTGGCAGCGTGTAATACCCTGAATACAAAATGAGTACCGTGAAGAAGCGCTGCCCCGATCGGAGTTCCTATTTACGTCAGTCATCCGATGAATTAAGGGGGGCCCCTGGATGCTCCGCCGAGAAAGAGGAGCGGGGGAAGAGACGCCGCTGAGATTCCCGTGACTTATGACAAACGAGACAACGGACTGTCAAATTATCCCGCGGAGCGACTAAATCGCGCCGAAATCCGTTTTCTCATTTTTCTCTCCTTGCTCGTTCTTCTTGCGCGAGCGAGAACTTGAATTATCGCGGCCTCGATCGCTACGCTCGTCTTCGATAGCTCTTTGACTGATTTTTCTTTTTTTTTTGGAGAAATCTGCTCCCTTGAATGCGTACGCAATTGTTGCGATAAATTTTCCATGAACGAACAACAAATCTCCTGTGAGAGAGGATATCATCTATTCGAAAGAAATTACCGATACATTGTCATCCTCGCTTTTCTTCGAGCTTGATTACCTGGTGACGTCGTTCGATTTCATCGGTCGCGAGTCGTTTCTTCCGAACTAATCGTATTACGATAGGCGGTTACAAAAATAAAAGAAGGGATTGCGCGGACAAAAATGTGTCTCGCAGTGACGTAGAGCGCGGGCAATAAGTGCGGCGTAAAAGCCACGCGATGGGATAGAAATGCGTTGCGTTCTACTTTGCTGAACTTTGTTGAACCTAACAATCGATGCTAGTGGATTTATTAATGTAACAGACGGACGCGGTAGGCGTGCACTCGCTGTCTTCAGCGCCGACGATGTCGTACTTTTAGCCGCAGCTGCACCGAGTAACGTGTAAAAATTTAATGCGCGGGCTGTCTCGGATCGGCCACGTCTGCCATCGTGAGGAAACGTGGAAAACTCGCTGTAAAACGGTCCGTAAGAAAATATCGACGGTTCGATAGGCGCGCGTGGCGATAATTAAGCGTAACTAAACTCACAATAGAAGAAGAAGAAGCAATTTTTTTCTTCTTTTCCTTTCGAGAAATTAAAAGATTCTCATCTCACAGAACTACATGACATGCAATATAAGAGACGAAAGCTCTAATTGAATAGGGGAGGCCAGATTGAGTTGGCCCAAGAGTCATGTTGGCCATATGTTTTATTCATGCAAAATGCCTCCTTTTAGAACACATCTACTTTTCCTCCATCAATTTCATTAAAATGGAAAAAATATCACAGTTAAAAAAAGTCTGGTTTGAGAGCAGCCGTTTCGAACATTTGGAAAGTTCATGTTAATATTCTGCATCGTAAGTGAATAACTTAAATGACGTGTTATCAAGAACATGAAAAATTTCGTAAAACTGCATATTATATTGTGTAATAAAAGCAATTTTTATTCAGAAAACGACTGAGATACAGTATATGAACAGAAGAGGTAAAATAAGACACTGTACAGGGTATCTAAATTTAAGCACGACAACTCGTAGAGTTGAACATTGAACAGAAAAGTCCTGTACTATTTTTCAGCGTCTTGGTTATTAACGTTACAGTAGTCGCGCGAATGCATTAAAATACATTTTTCGAAAAATACTAACAAGTACCATCTTGCATCTCCATATATTTGCCAGTTAACACGTTCATTGCCAAGTTGAAAATTGGAATTTCGTATTTTTTTATTTTTTTATTTATTTTTTATTGTGCTCAAAATAAGTTAATATATTATTTATATGCTTTTATTATTATGTACATAGGATTTATGTACTCTAAATATCTATTACGCGATAACGCGTGATCGGCCGTTTGGTGAGAACACGCGATATCGCGTGATTGGCAATGAACGTGTTAAATAGTGCTTTTGTCAGTTTTAAACAGAATCTTTTATGATTGTTATTTCCATATAAATAAATATTACTTTCGAAAGCGATTTTTTATTGAAAATGTCAATTAAAAATGGAGGATCCGCACGACCGCTCATATTGTATTTAAATAGGCGACTATTCCAGGATTAAGATATTATTCAAAGGAAATTTGTGCACGAGATGCGATGGAACGAACTCTGTAGCGCAGTTTGAAGGATTGATCGACCTAATCTATTTCGGTGAGAGCGAATATTAGTGTGATCACATTTGCGACGTTAGAAGGAAATGCGTGAAGAAAAATCGAGCGATCGTATCGTCTTTTTACTAATCGAATAATTAATTTCTTCTGCGATACTGGCATTAAATCGGGCTGGGAGAAGCGCCCGTTGACTTTGTTCCATTCGCTTTTCATCGATTCGCCGCTCACCATTCAGAACAACGAGCGAAACGCATCGTGTCGGGTCGGGAGATCGATGCGCGTAACTACGTAAGCGCCGGCGAATAGCGCGATTAAATTACACATTCCGCCGTTATAACGGCTTAATAATAGAGGCTCATCTTCTCGCGGGCTGACAAATGTCACGAGGAATTAACCGGATACCTCAGCGTGGGAAATAGATGCGCCGGAGCTTATCAATCAATAAATTTAATAAGAAACTTAACACATCCGTTGTAACGCGCGGAGAATCTCTGCACATCGTCGGAAATGTCTTTTATATCTATCCGTAGTCGGGAAGCGCCGGAAGTGAACGGGATAACTGTGAAATTTTTATTTTTTGGTTCTTCTCGTTAAAGAGATTCGTAGTTTTGCTAATTCAAGATTTTCAAAAGACTGATAGGAATCATTTCAACCGTTACACGTCGAAACGTTACCATACATGTGACAAGATACAATAATAGGCGAAAACGAATTGGAAACAATGGGAGCGCGCATTCTAGTTCTCTAAAAGAGAGAGAGAGAGAGAGAGAGAGAGTGATAAGGAATTCTCTCGAAACAAATACTCACATGCCCGTGCCTGTCCATATCGTTGTTGGTGAGCTTGACTTTCTCAAAGGAGACGACCTGCTTTCGAAGCTGTTCGCCCGTGAAAGGCGAATCCGGATGGACGTAGAGCCGCGCTGGTGCCGGCGGATCTGCCTTGCCGGCCACCAACCAGCAGCTTCTGTGATATGCGTACCGATATCTCTTATTGTCAACCGGCACGATGTCCATCAGGACGGCATATCGACTATCCGCCTTCAGACCGTTGAACGAGACGCGGCATGTCGGGAACATCCGCCTGCGCAAACGAATGAACAAATTCACGGTCAAACGAAATCTCCCGAGTCGAATCTATTTTAAAAATTGCGCCCGTATGTGATGCAGTCCTCCGTTTTATCAACGGAATTAAAGGAAGATAATTAAATATACACGTCAAGTCCATTTCTCCCGTCCTAACTCTGAAGGATTGCCTTTCTCGCCACGATGAGCTAATATCTTAGAGAATAAGAAATGTGATTTCAAATTAACATTTTCTTTCAAGACAGTTTTCTCCTGAAAAATCTCCGAATCTGAATGAAATTTGATTTGTTAGCAAAATTCACGCGTGACGATGAGGCATGCATCGATGATCCGGGATGGTTCGCGATAATCTTAGGGTTAACCCGCTCACCGAAAGTGCGCGAAAGAAGAGGATGGATCTTTCGGAGGGTGTGGGAAGGGGACGCGACGGGTTGGCAGTTACAGGCGAGGGGGCTGGCGTGAATGTTTTGCCTCGGAGGCCAAACATTAATACCGTGTCGGGCCCCCTGCTGCTCGACCACTAAAACGCGGGGACACCCGCCGATCTTATCTACGTCTTCTCCTCGGTCCTTGTCGACTCGGTATGCATTCATCCCGCCAGCGCCACGAGTGTGAGTAATGCTTTTATTTATCAAGCCGTCTTTTGTTAATGAATTGAACTCGGGAGAAGGGCCCCTCACGATCTTCCTTCCTTCTTCGCCTCACGCCTCGCCTGATTTTCAACCCTTTGCCTCTCCACCCTCCCGCCCGTTGTCCTGCTTTCTCACGTGACGCACAGTCGATGCCCCTGACTGGCTTTCCGGCCGGATTATCCGCCAAAAAATGTTCGCCTCGTCGTCACGAGGAAGACGAGATGAATCTGAAAACTCAGTCGAAACTTCGGCGGCGCTTCGGCGGAGCTTTCGCGGACAGCGAGGAGAATATTTGTCTTGAGGAGCCCTTCGTTCGTCTAAAACCGGAGTTGAAACACAACTAATGTGATGTTATGTATAATTCCTCCGATCCATAAATCTTCGTTGAATTTGTGAGAAGAAAGATATTCAACTTGGTGATTAAAAATTGTAATCACGCGCGTTTTTACCACGAATAAAACGTTTCAGAGGGAATTGACCGAAAAGCAGCAGTAGTGACGAGAGAAAAGGCAGCACAGTCGGAAGAGTGCAAGCAAAAGAGAGGGCGGTTTCCGAAGAGGGCAGCACCGGAACTACGCAGGGGTGGAAAGTCGTCTGAGGCGAGTTGAAAGGGACGACGACCAGCGTCGCTAAGACGGAGATCTAATTACCGGCGCATGAGTAGGCGCGCATCCGGGTGGAGGAACAAGCTCACCTTTCTTTCCTTCCTCCAGCCCGCCCTCGTAGGAGGAAAGCTAGGACGAGCGGGGATGTTGCCATCATCGTGGCGGGCAATTAGGCGCGCGTCGGCCGCGTCACCGCTCGTCTTTTCCGCCTCCTTTCTCTTAACTTTCCAAGGGTATCTCCAATGTTAACCCTCCGCGACCTCCCACGTGCCCCATTTGGACCACCCCGAACTAGCATAAGCGACCCTTCAGCGTGTAAGGATCTCTGCTTCCTTCCGCGGAAGAAAAGTGTTTGGAGATGTGTTGTAAGAAAACTAATTACGTGTGTAAGTGTCTGATTAGGGAAGATTGCAATCTATAATCAGCCGCTGTTTTTCTTTATGAAAAATTAAGATCTTATAGGTTTTTAAATCTGGAATTATTGCGCATAAACATACAATTCTTCTCTCTCAACATTTGTTGCTTCTTCATGTGTAAAATGAATACATTGCCTTTCTTTCAATCGTCCGTTTTCAAAATAATAATTGCGAAAAACTTTGCAAATTCATTTATCGTCCACTTATACGCTGTGTACGGATATTCAAGTGAAAGCATATCAGAAAAGAAGTGCCAAACGGTATCGCAAATTGAATCGACTTTATTACATTCTCAAAAGCTTTTCTAAACGATACCAGCTTGAGAGATTATTTCCTGTCGATGGGTTAACTTCGCGATGTCGGCCCGTTTCCGTCGTTAAGTCGGAGATATATGTCTGAGAAGGTGGTATATCGCGAGAAACGCGAACATAAAACTTCGCCTTCTGCGAAGAAGTAGGAGTCCCCCTCGCGGTGTGCGATTCCACTCGAATCCTCACACCTCCGGTCGCCACTGCTCGTTCCAAGGACCCTTATAAACTGGCATAAGCTCGCCCGGTTTCTACACCGGCCCGACTAATTGACTGACGGTCAATATAGCAATTTAACCCACCGCTTGCCACCAGCTCGTTCTTCGCTTTTTTATTCTCCTTTCTTCTCCTCGATCCCCTGCTCAGGTAGTCTCTCGCACTTTTGTATTATGTTCGCTAGTTTATATTCTTCGATCGCGACGAGAGATTGTTCTCTCATTGTTGCGACATGAAAGCTCATCATTTTTACGCGGCTTAATTGTCGCGAACGAAACAATCGATAGGCTTGCTCGATTGAGAGATCCGTTTTGCTAACGGAAAGTGACGGCTTGCTCAGGGTAACGACACGTCTCGCCCTAACCCGTTTCTGCCGGGTCGGGTCTCTCTTGGGAATTTTCGTGGGTGCCGTATCGTGTCGTGTTATGTCGTGTCGTGACCCGTGGTAGCGACGTGATTGAGTTAACAGCGACACCGGCCGGGCGAGGCAGTTTCACGAAGGGGTGAGCGGCCACGAGTAATGAGAAAGAGTCAATCGCAGAGAGCGGGCTGCGATGCATTAGCGGCTACATCGTCCCGAGGGAACCGCCTAACATCTGCTTGTCCCGGAAGAAACGAATTGTTTTCCAACGGATCGCCTTCCGAATATCGTCCTGATATTGCGTGACAAATCGAGGATACAATTTGTATAAATTACCGACGTTGCGCAATGTGAAATTATGTAACGTGCAATCGGAAAAAATGGACTTTGAAATGGTCGTAATTCGTTCCATCTTTCTTTCAGCCGATAAACAATAAAGGGCGTTATCCGAAGATAAAAATAACTCAAGGATATACACTACCTGCCTGTCTTCGTGATGATCATCTCCGTGCCGAGCTCGTTGAACTTGTCCCAGAGATCCTTCGTTTCCAGGTGGCAGACCACATGCCTCAGCTCCTCGCAATTCGAGCGCTCCTGCAGGAGAGGGTTCACCGGCGAGCCGCCTTTGCCGCTCGTGCTGCCGGTGTCGTCTGTTTCCGGCTCATCCTCCGCATTGATCGTCTCCGGCACTGCCGGAGCACCGCGCACCACCCCTGAACCGCTGGCTTCCCTTTCTGCGGAAAAGAACGTTCAATGCTAAAGGAGTAATACTCGCTTCTGTAACTCTCATGTCGAAGAACCGTTTGGTCATTTACACAATACGATCCATGAAGTTTCTCTGACATTAGGAATGTTCATCCGTCCTCGTGTGTCATTAATATGAATTATCATCCGTCTTTCTTCAGGAAAGGAAAGCGCTTCCGATACAAAAATCGAGCACCCTCGAGAGCTTAAGGACCGACATTTATCACCGGCGTGTCATTGATGCTCGTTTTTATCCGTTCCGCTGTAACTACTAAAATAGCGGCTAAAAGGCGAACGGGAGTTAACGTGAATGAACCGCGCGCGCACGCCTGATGAATATTTAAGAGTCGTTCAATTACAGTTATATCTCCCGCCGTTCTCTGTTTCGCGCACGACGAAATATTCCTCCTCGCACTTTCGCCGGCGCGGCGGCGGCGAACGAAATTAAAAACGAGGCTCTCTCTCGTCGATTCGTAATTTACGGGTGGGTCCCCATTACCGCAAATTGTTATTAATTTCGTTCCGACGCGCGCTCACATTGCGATAACTCGATTCTAAATTACGTACGACAGCGCCGATTAATATCTTTCTCGGTTGCGCTTTATTGCACCGCATCCGCCGACTCCGCCAAGTTTCGCGGCTTTTTGCAAATGCGCGTCGCTCGCGCGAACAAGTATGCGCGTTTACGTATGCATAAACGCAATAATGAAAAATCGCTCCCTCGCGAGAGAAGCGTGATTATTCAGCCGCTCGTTCGACGACTCTATTAACGCGGGGTAATAAAGAAAGCGATCGCGTTTCATCGAAATTGAGATTTTAATCGAAAATTAAACGGAAAAAGCTTGATATGCTTGAAGCCCGATTGCTTCAATTTTGTCCTTTCAGAGGATAAGGAAAAAATTGCATCCAACTAAATTACTATGGATTAGTGTAGAACTTCGTGACTCTTTGCATCGTTATTAGCTCTATTGGTATTTGCTATTCCTAGTAGCTGTATAAAAAGCTAAAGCTGCCTAGACGAAAGAAATCACCGGAATTATGAGATAAAAATTCCTAGCGGTGCTTATCTATCTTGAGATTTTTATCAAATAGTATCACATTAATTTTCATTTGCTATCCAATTCCAAAGTGTTAATGTAACGATACGGTAGTTAAATTATATATATTATAAAATAAATAGAACTATTTGCTGTATTATATTTGATATGTAATGACTAAACCTGCCAAGTATCTCCTAGTTAACTTGTGAAAAATATTTCTTACCCCACAAACCAACTATGAATTAATTTACATAAATTCTCCTTGCACGAATAACATTTTATTGCGGTTTTTACTGAATAATGTATCTAATTAATTCATACATCAAAGTAACACGTTGATTTTTGTAAATGATGTCGGGAACAAAGTTAATATCGCCGGGACGTTCAACGTGCTGAATAATGTTCTTCTTCCTTGAAATACACATCGAGACACATCGTCGGAATAAGTGGTCGAGCTTTATTATTTGCATTTTGCATTATTGCCGCGCAAATAAGATTATTTTTCTCTCGCGAATGTATCAGGAAAGAGTCAAATGTGATATCGGTTATAGAAATGTGAGAGATTCCGAGGAACTCACGTCGATCAAGGTGACTCGTTTGATTAATGCGTCGAATTAACTCGAGGACACTACATTACCAAGGTAATGTTTTATTTCGTACTAATCTCTCGCGTTTATACGCGGAAACGGTTTGCAAACGTTTGCACATAGTGTATGCGCGGCCAGTTTCGCGCTGTTCAATCACGTCGACGTAAATCTAAGCGTAATCTATTTGGTGGTGGTTACAGATATCCCAGTTATCGATGATAATATATTGTCGTTGAAATAAACGGCGACAAGCCGATAAGCGAGTTCCTTCGACGGTTCGCAACATTGCGCGATCGATTATAAATAACGAACGAACGCGCAGAAAAAATACACGTGGATCCGATTGAAAAGAAGAGTGTAATCGGCTGATAAGCCCGACGTATTGCCGTCGACGGTGATTAATCGTTACGCCACTGCGTAACTCTCGGCGCAGGAAGTCGAAGACTCTTTTCGCAGAGACGTACACGCAAATTTCCACAGGATGTGACTGTCACGTCGCGGAAATTAACGTTCGAGCGCTCAATGATGTCATTCTCGGCGCCGAAGATTTCTTTCGCCCTTCACAACGACAATTTTCATCTCCGTTGTTGTAATAAAATTGTTCTATAGTAAAAATTATATAAAACGCTGCAACAAAACGTCGCTATTATAATAAAATTAATAAATATGATGAAATTAATTAAATGATAATCATTATAATAAAATCGAACGGCATTTGAAAGTCGACTAATCAGAACACGTGAAATCACGTTGAGTGAAAATTCATTTCGTTCCAAATAAAATTTCTCCAACTTGGAACGAACTCCTTGCGACTCGTACAGGGGCGACTCGTACAGAAATGCGATGGCAGTGTGTTCGCGATGAGTTTGGGAGTCTCTCGCGATAAGAGTCGCGGCTAAGATTGAACTCATTTATGCGCAACACGGCCAACATCTCAACAAGATCCTTCGCCACGTATTTACTGCGTGTACCTTTTCGCGCGCGTTTTCACGGCAAGAGAAGAAGAGATAGATAAATAGATGGATAGAGAAAAAGAAAGAGAGAGAGCTGACGTTTGTATCCAGAGAAATCGTAATAAACCTCTTGATGGGCAGTTACAAAGTAGCGACTCGGTGTTGGTATGTTAGGTGCCGGCTATCAATTTTACGCCTCGCGCGAGAAATTAATTGTCCTATTCGACGCAAAGCGAATTCCGGCGCTTCGGACAAGCGGCATTGTGTAAAATCTTTCATGTCTGAACACATCTGACTTTTTTATTAAAAATGGCGTTTGGTCTATGAAGGTTAATATCTACTGAATACATCGAGTTAATCTTTGAAAGAAAATGACTTGTTGTATACCAGTTATAAAAATACAAAAGATTTCACATGGCAATTTTGTTAAAAAATAATCTTTGTCAGTTTAAAAAGTAATTTATTCATCTCCGATTTGTTAGAAATGGAATCCTTTTATTTGACAACAAGGAATTAGACCGATCAGTGAGAATTTGAAAATATCCAGGCTTTTACTCGAAACAACTCGAGCGACATTGCGATGCATTCTCTTAATCGTTCCTTTACAACTGTGAAAATCCACAGAAGGAACAAAGAATCGCGATCGTCACGACTCGCCTCTCGGGTGCAGTGGACAAATTAGGACTCATTAATAGAAACAAATACCGAGCATGAAAGTGTAAATAATACATAGATCGTGACATTTCAACTAGTGTTGTAGAAATCGTTGTATAAATGACATAGCGCCGCGAGTGTTGGTGAAAATTACTCCCCTCACGTGCGGCGGACGCAAAGTGAGAATTCGCTCGAAATATTCGTGTCGCGATCTTTTGATCTTTCCGAGAATGAAGCTACAAAAGCCGGGCTCCGCTGTATTCTCTCGCGCGTACCACAAACGAGGAAGTAACGCGGTGGTAAATAAAGTCTCTTGGTTTACCTTAAGTTACCAGAGGGTTATAATTTCACGAATCGCCGGCCTCGGTTGGCATCACGTTAATAACGCTAAACTAAAGCGAGTCCCGTCGTAAGTGGATAATTATCCTTTTTCCAGGCGCTACCTCATTACACATCCTCGCCGCGTGCGCGTGTCTATCACCGTGTCGTGGTGGTAATCCAGGGAATCGGTCATTTTGCATTTAATTATGGCCGGAATCAAACGGTGGGAAGGATCTACGAAAATTTCAACGATACTATTGAGAGTGATTGCCGGTTGAATACGAATTATCTCTCCGGCTCGACGTGTGAATTAACCTTGCCTCTCTCTTCGAATACCTTTCCTTCTCCCCCTTCTTCTCCATCCCGTATTTACATCGCACGTTTTGCGCTAAACGTGCTCATTTGATTCTTCTCGAAGTACGTAATTACAACTCGATTGTGACGCCGGAGAAGTAAAATCTTAGAGATTAAACGGATAAATTTAGCATTGAATGTGTAATTTTAAGCGCGGAACGATTTGCGTGTAGATTAGTGTGACAAGTATATTGTCAATATATTCTTTATGTAAATAATAACTTTTGACGTAAATTACATTGTTAAATTCTCAATATATTATCTCATTTATATTCTCTCTCTCTCTCTCTGTGTCCTTTATATTTTATCAGGTACAGTTTTCTAAATGTTAACTTACGACGTATCGTATGTACAGTGTGTAAATTATTTCATGATTATAATGTCTCCAATATGCTAATGTCTAGTCTTGCCTGTATTTTTTGCCTCCACGTAGAAAGTGTTTTCGTAATATGAACGAGCATTAAAATACATTAAATACTAAAACTGCGCGCGCGCACAGTCGAAGCATTTATTACAGCGAATGAATAGAATGTGGTTATCGTCAAACCGCCGTTGTTAATTCGATAAGGTTGCATTAATTTACGCCTTGAGAGAGTGTAAAACACCGTGTACATGTGAGAGAAAATTATTGTGATTGATTGTATACATACATATCGTGAAAAATGTTATAATTAATATTGTCGTCATTGCTATTTCGCGATTCCGATCATTCTTCCGGTCGTTCCACCGCACACTTGGCTTGCTCTCCGACAATACTGGCAACATTGTTCGAAGCGTGTCCGCTTATTTAGACAAATGGACCGTTTCGGTAAGAGCTGTTAAAAGGAGCTTTCGATCCGATAGACCGACCGATTGTTTGCGCGCTCTCCGACGGCGGTCGCAACACATCACAGAATATTAGGTACGAATTACCACTTGCAATAACAGTAATCTCCATTCGTCGGCCGGGCCTCTTAGCCGTAAAATGCCGCGCGGAGAGTCCCTTGCGGTCACGCCGGCTCTGTATTTACGTTGGAGCCTCTTGCGAACCTTTCAATATAAGAAGAGATCCTCGAGTCGGCGAGGATTATCCGCACGCAAC